TATATATATATATATAATACAATCTTGATATAATTTAATTGTCTTGCTTTAAAAAAATCTTTATTCAAATTATGGTTGTATAAAGTTATAAAGTAATAGTCTAGTTATAAAGTAAAGGGATAAGAGGGATTTTGTTAAAATCTTACATGAGAGAAAGGTATATATACTTCCTCTCTGTATATACATATATATATATAAAATCTTATTCTGTGTCACTTTAAAATCTTAATTAAAGTTATAGAGTAACAGTATAAAGTTATAGAGTAACAGGCAGGAGCGATTTTGTCAAAATCCTATGAGAGAGAAAGGTTACATATACTTTCTCTCTATATATACAAATATATATATTACACACTATCTCACTCTAACTTAACTATCTTGTCTGTAATCTTAATTAAAGTTATGGAGTGAGACAATACAAATTATAGTGAGATAGCATATATGTATATAACATATGTATATAGAGGAAAATTATATATACCTTCTTCTCTTACAAATTTTGACGAAATCGCTCGTAGTCAGGATCTGCTACAAGGTTTCTAATCTCCATAACAGCATGGATTATTCTAGCAATGTTACAATGCTTCAGTAATATTGCAGTAACATTGCAAATTTGCAGCAATGTTGCTGCAAGCTTCCGTGCTGTATATAAGTTAGTTTCGTCAGAAACTTTCAAAAATTTTCACGCCCACACCGTTCTGGTGCAACTGAATATCGAATGGAATCTCGTTCGGAGCAGCGGCGAACCGCGTGTACGATCTCACGGGATCTCGTTGTCTTCGATTCTTCCACGCAACGCAAAGGCGAGCCGAGCTCCGACTATTCCGACTATTCGGCATGTTGACGGTACCATCTTATCGCGATCGCGTCTTGCTACTTCAATTCACTGATGTTCCGAACGCCGCACACGTCCAATGTTAGATACGACCATCTGGATTTTCTGACATTTATGTCCTCCGCGTGAGATTCCGATCGCCGAGGAAGAGTGAAACGTGAGGCAAAAGGGTGGTGGTGTCCAGGATTTCGCAGAGATGCAATCCTGTCGCTGAAATGACCTTTGCGATTAAATACGTGAATACATCGACGCGTGTTTACACTAGAAATAATCATTATTGACTATTTTTCATATTGACTGTTTTTCTTTTTTAGATTAATACATAATAACAAAGTGGCTATATCTATATACAATAAAATACTTTAAAAGATTTTAAAAACTGATTCCTCACATAGATTTAAGATGAAAACTTCATGTGTCATAAGTCTAAAACGGCTTATAAAATTTTACTTTTTCCAAAAATTTCGAAAATCATTCGGGTTTTTGTGAAATATTGTATATGTTTAATGTTTTATCAAACTAACTCGTGTGGTTTTTGAAATTTTTGTACTTTTAAAACTAAGAGCTTCAGACATGTAGTCATATGATGTTTGAAACTAAGCCGTTTCGGACATATGGTCATGTGAAGTTTCGTCTTAAATTTCTGTGAGGAATGATCCCTTAAAATCTTTTAGAGCTCTTAGTAGCTACTCTGTTTTTTTTGTGTAAAAAATTCTGATTTTTTTTACTTTTCAATAATTATGTCTTTTATATAATGAAATATATAATATTTGGTCTCTTATTGTTCTCTTTACTTTCATAGAATTTTTTTATGAGATTATTTTAGTGTGTAAGGAATGTTGGTATTTTTAGTGTAAATATTATGGTGATGAATATTTCAGGTGCGTGTAATGTTGCATGAGAATTCGGTCTTTCAAAATGCGAATATCAAACGGTATTAGCCGTTTGCGTGGAAATAATTGTGTCCGGGTGTCTAAATTATGTAGTGCAAATCTTGGACGTTTTGCCCGTTTGGGAATATCGTGATTGTACGATCAAATGTATTATGCGAGGTGCATTTCGATATATCGTGACTGTGTCATTGAATAACAATGTAATGGTGCCCAATGTTCTGGATATAGTTTCATATTGTTTTGCGAGGCATAAAATGGATTGACGGAAGTAGTTTTCATTCTAATATCGAGTCTAATATATACATAAGCATTTGACATTGACACACGTCTTTAAACGCTGGACTTTTTCACATGTTTACATTTACACGTTCGGCTTATTATAAAATTACTTCGAAATGTAAATGGTATTATCGATACTTTCATATTAATTTGAATATATAACATGCGATGAGAAGGTACTAAATTCGGCACATACTCTGTCATGCAATTAATAAATCATATGGGAAACTTTTGTTTAAGCGAAGAAGCTCGTATAAAGAATTCATTTCCGTTCGCTCATTATCGCCTTAATAGTTGACAAGTACGATTATTTCGAGGATATTATTGGAAAATTCATATCAACTACGGTGATAAATAGTAAAAAGTAGTACATCTAAAAAATTAGCAATTTTTCACTAGAGTATTTTTAAACTTTGATATTTTTTTTAACTCTGAATTGGAACATTTTAATTAAAATAGTGAATATGCAATTTCTATGCCTTCACTTTTTTTCTACGTTGTACTTTCAATTATAGTGTATTTTTTAAAAATATGTCATGAACATTTAAAATTTTACTGCAATCTTAATATTTCAGTGTAAATTTCAGATGATAAAACTATGACATTTTTCCATGTAAGCAAATGTGCTGCAATGTGTTATTTTGGTACAAAAACATAATAGCTTTTGTAGTCGATTTCCTTTTGTTATCTCAAAATGTTATCACTGTAAGAAATATTGGATATGGATTTAATATCATTTATATATTTAAACATGTGTTTATTGTATAAATCTTAACGTGTCGATTTATATGTACCAACATCAACTTGGATTTAAAACTCATGGTGTTATATCAACATCAATATGATACAGATTTAAAACTCATAGTGTTAAATCCACACCTATATTTTTTAGAGTGCAACATTTTACTTGTGTCACTATTCTGTCAACGCAACGATATATTGTAGAAAATACGATCTCAAAAACACAGGAAGAAAATTTATCTACGCTTTCCGCTCTCTCCGCTCATATGTCATCTGAAACGCGCGAACGTGCGAAAAATAATACTCTTTGAATAGTTATTAGAACTCATGATACCTAATAGAAAGATGAGATCAGTAAAATAAATTTTCTTTGCGTAAAAAAAGGTCCGACAAAACAAGCTCTTTCAGTGTTTACTCTACATGTATCAATCTTCCGCAAGTCACTGTTGTTCGAAGCAACAGTTTCGAAGGGAGATATCAATTCTTTTGCAGAATCGATCAATCTTATTGTAGCTGGCATGAAGTAAGATATCAAACTCTTCGGGGGGCCGAGTAAGAATTCATGTCGATCTTCGTTGTTTTACTATCCACTTACAATATGTCGCGCGTTTACTTTTCGGAGATATATACGTTTTATTTTAAATAAAATAATTTTTCTGGAAGTTTTTACGTGGCGTTGGATTCTTTTTAACTCTTCTTTTTTTTTTTTTAAATAATATCGTGAAATGATAACTTCGATTATAAAACACGTGCAATTAGCGAGAAAGTTCATCGCGCGTTTGCTTTTTCGGAGATACATTTTATTCGAAATTCTTATTCGAAATAAAGTCATTTTTTTCTGCAAACTTTTACATGGCGTTGGAGTGTTTTTAGATTTTTTTTTTTTCTTTAATCGGATATTTCTCTCGTTAAGCTACTTCGATTATAAAATATATATAATTGGTGAGAAGTTTACTGCGCGTTTTGTAAATAAATGTCGTTATTGCTTGCCGAGATGACAAGAGTTGCAAGCCAGTTTGTCAGCATAATTGGGGCGCGTTTGTCGATTCCGAGTGTGCGTTATTATCAAGTTCGAAGAACTTTCGCGCGGGTATGGGAGATCCGCTTTGTAATATTATATAAACGCAGTTATTTGTACGAGCCCTTCCTTCTCTTCATTGAAAGTCGAGACAACCGAACTGTTCTATTAAAATGACAATTGAGCCGCTGAGTAGCGAGCAAGGGTCGACAATTTCGTAGAGCATTTAATTATGAGATCTCATCTCGCAATTTAGAAGATTCTCCAGCGCGACGAGAAAAGTCAATTTCTTCAGTAAAGCGCTTTCGTTTGGCGAAGTACATCAAAAATAACTGGCGGAAGATCGCTGAAACGAGAGTAGAGTACTGATTAAATGTGTACATTAATTTTAAAAATACTCGTGATTAGATGACAAGTACTCGTAGTTGTACTTTAGTAAAGTTGAAATTATAATATCAGTAATCTGCTTTAATTGGAAAACGTTTGAAAATATAAGAAATAGCTTGCTCCGAGACTTAGTACTGACGCAAAAAATAAACAGGCATTGTTTTAATAGAAATTAACGTGTCTCATTAAAACGATAGCTGTGTGATGGATTTTGTACCTCAGCACGATGATTTATCCCTCGGGCGACAGTGAACGAACGGACCTGAAACGCTCATTTCCGTTTCAATAACGTTCCAACGGATGTATGCCATTTCAATGCCTGAAAATTTGAAATAGCAGTTTGATATTTTTACATGCATGATCGTATCCTGAACGGAAATATATGGCTTTTTTGTTTATCGATTTCACGTTGATACGGAAATATAAAGCTGTGCCATATTAACAAGACCGATTTGTTTTTAGCTCGATATT